GGAAACCTTTTTGGCCGTGGCCATGCTTAAATTCATTAGGTTCCTGCCAGCGGTAGTAGTATACCATGACTACGAGATTTGGCAAATGGATGTCAAAACTGCATTCCTGAATGGAGATCTTACTAAAGATATATCTATATGCAGCAACCGCAAGGTTTCATAGTTGCGGGTCAGGAACACATGATTTGTAAATTAAATAGATCTATATATGGACTTAAGCAAGCTTCTAGGAGTTGGAACATCCGGTTTGACTCTACTGTCAAAAAGTTTGACTTTGAGCAGAATACGGATGAGCCCTGTGTTTACAGGAAGTCTAGTGGGGATAATGTTACATTCCTAATTCTATATGTAGACGACATTCTACTCATTGGGAATGACGTAGGAATGTTGACTACGGTGAAAGTATGGCTTTCACAGCAATTCTCCATTAAAGCGGATAATAGGATTATACCAATCTGCTTACATTGACAAAATTGTCAAGAGATACAGCATGGAGAACTCCAAGAAAGGAAATGTTCCTTTCAGGCATGGAGTCACTCTCTCCAAGAAAATGTCTTCCAAGACTTCTGAGGAGATTGAGGGCATGAAGGACGTTCCATATGCCTCAGCCGTAAGGAGCATCATGTATGTCATGCTGTGCACTCGTCCTAACATTGCTCAGGCAGTGAGTATGGTAAGCAGATTTCAGGCCAACCCAGGGCAGGAGCACTAGTCTACTGTGAAAATATACTTAAGTACCTTCGAAGGGCAAAAGAGTTTTTTCTAGTATTCGATGGTAGCTTACTACAGATCCAAGGGTATACAGATGCCGATTTCCAGTCGGATCCAGATGATAGAAAGTCTACATCTGGATATGTTTTCATGATAGGATCGTGTGTTGTTTGCTGGAAAAGCAGCAAACAGGGGTCCACGACAGACTCCACAACTGAAGCTGAATACATTGCCGCAAGTGAAGCTGCCAAGGAAGCTGTGCGGATGAAAAATTTTGTTCACGAATTGGGAGTAGTTCCGTTCAGCACATCACCCTGGGGCGATTGCTCAGGCTAAGGAGCCACGAGCCCACTCGAAGTCGAAGCACATCGAGAGGAAGTACCACGTACTGCGGGAGATTGTTGGTAGAGGGGACATCTTGATTCATAGGGTAGCATCAACGAAGAATGTAGCAGACCCATTGACTAAGCCACTAACACAGAAAGTGTTTGAGAAACACGTGAAAAGTATGGGACTCCGGCTTATACCAGATTAGACCTAAGTGCAAGTGGGAGCTGTTAGACAGTTGTATGCCCTTAGCTCCACTCAGAATGATGTATATTATAACATTTATTGTAAATGAATAAAGTACATATTTGATTCATGTTCTTGTGGTGTGTTTCTATGTAATACCCTTAAACTAAACACATATGAGACTCATGTTAGATTAGAATGTTCACAGCCGTTGGATAAGTCTGGGGAGATTTATCCTACTAAGGCAGACACTGGTGTGCCACCAAGTGTTGGGGTGGTTTGTATCAGCTGCCAGGGTGAGACCCGAGGTACATGCAGTGTAGGTTTACTTGAAACCCTGAACCGGACTAGACTTCCAGTTTTGCCCTAGACCTTGGTGATTAGTGGGCAGAACTGGAAAGTTACACCTGACCCCTAGACTCAATTATGATACTGCACGTGGTGTTGGATTGGGTTGTCTTTGATATGCCAATCAGTGAGATCCTTAGAGGGGGTCAAAACCTGGGTATGTTGGGACAGTCTGAGAATTCATCTGAGTGGGTGATCATAGTGACAAGATCAGCCCCTTTGTCGGACAAAGG